AAGGCGCTCTGCGGCCCTCTCCCCGCGGCCTCCCGCTGCCTGGCGCGTCCACGTGGTCTCGAGGGCGGGAGGGTGGACTGTCTCAGGTACCAGACCCCCGACCCGTGTTTCAGGAGGGCTGGAATGGACCTGTCTACCTCCGGGTCCCGCTCCTGACCGCAGAGACCTGGGCGGCTGCTGGGGTTCCCTGGGGAGAAGGGAGAAGCAGGGGCAGGGGGCTGGGAGGGGGCCTTGGACCCACTAGTGCCACCGGACTGACGGAGACTCTGGGCCACTCCCGAGTCCCTCCCCTGGCCCTCCACCGTCCCTCTTCCCACCGCAGGTGGGGCGGGGTTCTAGGCAGCACCCGGAGACACTCCGCTGGCCGGATGCCCACCGCCCTGGCGCCCAGTGCAGGGGATGGCCCAGGTGCGTGCCCCAGGTGTGTGCCCCCGCCTGGGTGAGGCCCTGCCTGGTCCCCCAGGTCCCGCGGAGCCCGCCTGCAGGAGGAGCCTGCCGGGATGGACGCCTGGGTTTCCCTGGCAACGTCGGGCGGGCCTCCTCCCAGCCTCCTCCCTGCCTCCTGGCGGATCTCCGGAGTGGGCCCTGGGCTCTGCCTGCGCTGGTCTTGGAGCCATGGCTGCTGCCCGGAGCCTTCTAGCTGGTGAGTTCCCAGAGCGAGGTCTGCCTGAGCCCGCCGACCCTGCCCCAGGCACCGGGGGAGGGGGCGGGAAACGCAGCAAGGGCGTGGGTGGGGGTGGGGGTGCAGGTAGGTGGCTTGGTCTTCACTCCCTCCCTGGGCTAGCTGCCCCTCCTGGGTCTTACTCCGCTGGGAAGGGATCTTCTGGTCTGGGAGCGCCCGCTGAGGGCTTGGGGCTCCTCGGGGCGAGGCCAGGCTGCCCCTACTCTAGCACTGCTGCCTGCGGCCCTGGGCTGCCATCCGTGTCCCCGCCTGTAAAACAGAGAGAAACGCCAGCCCGGGCCCCGAGGGGGCCGAGGTTTCTGCACCTGTGCTGACAGGGCCCGGTCAGCACAGACCCTCCGCCAGCTCTCCTGGGGGGCAGGCCTGGGTCACCCGGCCTCTGGGGGGCCCGTGGAGGGCTGAGAGTTGGAGGCCGAGGCAGCGGGCGGGAGGAGACCCTCGGGGCCGTGCCCCCGGAGCCGTAGCCCCTGGTGACTGTTCTGAGCCCTCGCACATGGTTGTGGTCCCGGGGGGGCGGGGTGAGTTGGGAGTAACTGAACCTTGAAGGTGCTCGGCCATGGCCGCCAGCCTCCGGCCACAGGGCAGGGCTGTCTGTGAACGCGGGACACTTTCCCTGGTCACCGGGGTCCACGGTCACGTCACTGCTCTGACCGTTCTCGGTTGGGGAGGTGCTGCCGAGGGCAGGTCTCTGCTCTGTGTCGTGTGACGGTGGGCAAGGCGACAGTGCCGTCCTCATGGGCTGTGGCGCGGAGCCCTGAGTCACCCCGGGTTGCTCGGGGAACACGCCGGGCATAGGGCCTGGCCCTTGGCAGGTGCCCCAAGCAGGGGCCGGCTCTCCATTGCTGGAAGGCAGGGACCAGGCCTGGCGGTAGGGGTGCACGGCAGGGAGACCAGGCAGGTGGCAGGGCCTGGGGCCTCGGGGTGAGCAGGCCTAGGCGGGGGCTCCCGCTGACCTCTCTGTTGGCGTGGCAGTGTCTGTCTCCTGGGCACAGGGGGACAGCGGCTCCGGGCTCCCTGGGCAGGCTGCAGGCGCTGCGTGTCCTTGGGCAGCTGGGTCACGGCTCTGCCTCGCTTGGCCGAGGGTTCTGCGAGACCTGGGGCCGCGTGCGGGGTGCGGCCGCTGCGCTGTTTTGTGCGCGTCACGCGCGTCCTCGGGGTTTGCTGTCCTGTCTCGCCGGCTCGCGCTCCCGTCTGGGCCCCAGCAGCACCTTCTCCCGACCTGCAACCGTCTTCCCACGAGGTCGGCTCTTGTGTCGCCTTGTTCCTGCCCCTGCGTCTGGCACCTCTGTGTGACCCCAAGTCCCCTTGGGGCCCAACCACCTTCCCATGGGGAGGGGCTGCTGGTGACGCTGTGGCTGCTGGAGCACAGCAGGCGGCAGAGGCTGGGGGGACCGCCGCCCTGACCAGACCCCCGCACGAGGCCCTGCTCTGCAGACCCCGGCGTGCGTCCACATGTGCGCATGTGTGTGCGTGTGTGTGGCGTGTTATGTTTCTGTACTTGTTGCACGCTGTGCATCAGGGATGGCCTGTGCTTCCGGGCCAAGGGTCCAACGTGCCCAGGTGCACCGTCACCTGCACACCATTTTCCCAGACGCGACTTGAGCCTGGGTCAGCCTCTGGAGAACTTCCGTTTGGACCCACGAGCTCGTGTCGTCTGCAGCTCCCGCGGCCCGGCGGCTACCACACGGCCCATTGCGGTCGGAGGGCTGGTTTAGGGACTGCTGCTTCCCAGGGCTGGGTCTGAGCAGGTGGCCGTTGGGTGCCATGCCAATGTCCAGACCTGTGTCAGCTGCTGTTGCTGCCCAGTTCTGTGGTCTGGAACCCTGGGCCCCGAGACAGCGGGCGTGGCGGGCCCCTCTCCTTCACGGTCCGCTGACTTTGCCCCTATCCCGGGCCTGCTCGGGCCTGCTCAGGGCCCGCTTCTCAGGAGACGAGGCGGTGAGAGTCAACACTGTGGCTACGTGGAGCAGAGCACTGCCAGCTTCCAGAAGGGAGCCGGTCCCCACCCCGCCAACCAGCCCAGGCTGCCGGCCAGAGGCGGCTCCGCGCTGGGCAGCGTCTGCGGTGGGCAGGCCCAGACCCCCGGGCGAGGGACGGCCCCTGGCAGTAGCGAGGGCAGAAGCCGCTGCCCCGTGAGCCAGCACTTTCTGGCAGCTCAGCGCAGGGGCTGCGTGGGGGGCGGGGCGTGGGGCGGGGCCGTGTGTGGGGGGCGAGGTGTGGAGGGATGGCCTGGGATCCGCGGCGGGCTAAGGAGGAACACACAAGGCCGTTGGGGTTAAGCAAGGTTTATCGTAGCAGAGTGACAGCCAGGCTGAGCCGAAGAGGGCGTCAGCCCCAAATGCGAGGGGACCTGAAACTTACACGGGACTTGAGGGGGGGTCCTTTCAGCGGGAATGTTTTGGGCGGGTATGTTGGCGGGAGGGAGGGAGGAGAGCCCAGGGAAGCGGGAGGTGAGCATGTAGCGCTCCCACACAGAGGTAAGGGAGTCTGGTCCCCACACCGAGTGTGGGGGGTGGTGAGGGGTGGGGCCTTCCTGTACCTAGCAGGCGGGGCGAGAGCAAGTGCGGGGCCCCAGGGCGAGCGCTTCCTTTCCTCGTCTCTGACCCTCTTAAGAACCCCGCCGAGAGGGGGCTGATGTTCTGTCCACTTTCCTCACGCCTTCAGGACGCAGGGCCGGCCTGAGGCCACCCGCGGGCCCCTGGTGCCTCTGGGAACTGGGGCTCTCCGCCGCTGTGTCCACCATGTGGCCGGGGGTGGGGGGTGGCTGCTCCATTTGCTCTTCGCGTCAGCCCCTCCCGGCCAAGACGCCCTCCCCTGGTGACCCAGTCCTGTGGTGGCTCGGCATGGCCCTGGGGACTAGTGGGCCACCGTCTGTCCGTGCCTGGGTCCTGGCCCGCCAGGATCCTGGAGCCTGCAGCTGTCACCATGTGCATTCTAAGGCCAAACCACCCCTGCCCCCCGGCGGGAGGTGAGGGGACCTTCCTCTGCAAGAGAGGTATTAGGAGGGGACCTGCGTGTACCTCACTGAGCCAGAGGGAGCCGTGGGGTCTGGATGGGGGTGGCCCTCCAGCTGGGCTGGCAGCAGGGCTCAGGGTTGGCCGAGATGCTGCTGGGCTGAGCACAGGCCAACCCGGAGCAGGGTGACCCCCGTCACCCAGGAGGTGCAGGAGTGCGGGACAGGGCAGGGGTGACCGCGGTCGGGGCGGCTGTGGGCTGGACATCAGCAGAGGGTCCTGGCAGGGAGATGGACGTTCTGAGGCCTCTGGGAGTCGGCCGTGGGTTTAGAGCTGAGTCGAAGCTTCTTGATGAAGCCGGTGGGGCAGTAAGTTGGTGGGCTTGTCACAACTCACAGGTGACGGTGGCGCTGGCACTGTTTATTTCCGTGTTCACCGCACGTTTGTTTTCGTGATTTTTTTTTTATCGCGGGCAGAGCGTTTCAACTGACTTCCCCGTCGTATTGACGACGCAGCCTCTTCCCGGAGAAGCCGGTCTCTGCCGACTGCCAGAGGCAGCTCAGGACCCGCTCGTGGGAGAGCAGGTGCCAGGCCCACTGTCAGGAGAAAGTTCTGGGTGCTCAGCTCCGCCACGGCCATTCGGAACGACCCTTCCCTCTGCCCTTTCAGGAGCAGGACTGGAGAGTTGGGGAGGACGCTGGGGAGAATGTCCCCCAGAACCCCAACCGATGCGGCTGGCTGAGGGAAGGGGGCCCTTCAGTGCAAGGGCCAGGCCTCTGCTTTGCAGGATGGCCCTAGGGTGCAGCAGCAAGTGGGGTCCCTTGGCAGGATGGCGGGGGTGGCTTGTATTCCTGTTAAGGCTGTGAAGGGGTTCTGCCGGATGTGGGGGCTCTGGGAACAAGAGGAAGCGGAACCATCTTCGCGATCCCCTCGGTTATCCAGCCTCTAAGGGCGGGAGGAGACACGGCCTAGTCACTCTCGCACCATGTCCCCACCTCCCCAGCATGCCGCAGTGTCCCAAGACCTGCCACCAGGGTGTCACAGGAGCTCCCTGCAGGCTGGGGACTGGCACGTCACAGGCTCACGTCAGGCCCGCAGCTCCATGGGAGGGCGGCTTTCCCCAGCCCCCGGGTCAGGCCTCGAGGAAACACGCCCGGGGCCTGCTCCCTTTCAGCCTCGCGGAGCCACGTCCTCAGTGAACGGAGCCAGCCCGGCCAGCGCAGGACTCCTGGCCAAGTGCACGGGGCAGAGCCGGATGGCGGCCGAGGGGGCGCCAGCATGGTGACGCAGCTGCAGAGGTATGTCAGCCGTCTGGGCCACCAGGTGGGGCCAGAGGCTGGATTCGGGGTCCTGCTGGCTGCACACTCCTTCCCTTCTTCCCTTCGTCCGACTGCAGGGGCGGCTGGTGGGGGTGGGGCCGGGCTCTCGGTGATCCCTTCCTCCTGCGGGCAGCTGAATGGGGCTGCGTGTCCCCCCAACCCCTTGACCAGGGTCCCGGCTCAGAGCTCTGCCCTGTACCCTGCCCAGACGGTGACTCCAGGCATCCCTGTTCCCAGCACAGCCTCTTTAGAGCAAGGCTCAAGGATAGCACTCCACCCCCATGCCTGCCTTGGGGGTCTTTGCTGTGGGACCCCCGCCCGGGGTCCATTCTGGAAGGGCCATCGTTAGGGCAGTTCCTGAAACTAGTAAGTGCTCTTAACCATCCTGGCCGCTCCCCGGCCGCTTGTGACCTCAGCCACCAGCTCAGGCCCTCCTCGGGAGGGATCTCCCGATGGCCACAGTCCCCGGAGGCTGCCGGGGCTGGGGTCCCAGGTCGCCCGAGGTTACACCGTCAGCTGGGTGGAGCTGGGGTTTGAAACAGCTCCCCTCCTGCGGGACCACGCCGAGCTCAGGGCCAGCTGACCGCAGAGCCCATGTCCTCCTGCCCATGCTGCCCTGCCAGAGTCACCACAGAGGCGACAGGAAGCCCGCGGGAGGAGGCCGGGCTGGGGGCTCTCCCAGGGGTGCGGGGCGCAGAAGCAGGACTTGGGCCCCTGGCACTGGGACAGATCTAGCTGCTGCTTCCACAGGCAAGGGCCGCCCTGCACTCGGGCTGCTGGGAGGGCCGAAGAGCCCCGAGGAGCCAAAGGCAGTGGCTTCAGGAGAGGTGGCAGGGGTCTTTGCCTTCATGTCAACCCTGAGCACTCAGCCCTTCAGCCCCTCATTCAGCTGCTGGGGACAGGCCTCAGGCTGGCTCCTCGGTCTTGCACCCAGCCTTCCAGGCTGATGCCCCTCGGAACTCAACCTTGAGCTTGACGCCAGCTGGGAGCTGAGCTCCAGCCCTGCCCCTGCCTGTAACACTGACCCCTGAAGGCCCACCCTGCCCCCAGCATCTCGCTACATCTGCACACATTTGCCCAGGCTGAGCCCAGCCCCAGCCCTGGCCAGCTCACTTGCCACGCATGGCCCCTGCACCCTGGGAGGGAGGGTGGGGTGCTGCCTGGAGCCCCAGCAGGAGTTGAAGGCCTCAGCTCTTGGTTGCTGAGTGACACGGGATTATTATGCTGTCACGGGGCTACTAGAATTCTCTCCCACCCCGCTGATAAGCAGCTCATGGGGAAGGTCCCCCCAGGCCCATTGCCCAGGGCCCAGTTTCCATGACCATCCCGAGGATTTCCACCGTGGGCCAGGGGACCGGGACAGGCGGCATCCGGAGCTGGGCGGTGGCCAGCCCGTGAGCAGGGATGGGTGCTGGGCTGCAGGTCGCGAGGCTGCCTCGTGGAAGCGCCCAGAGCAGGTGGTGACGGGGGCTCGCCCTCACCCCTGGCCCTGCAGCCATGGCAAGCTGCCTGGGGGAAGCGACCCGGCCCCAGCCCAAAGAGAGCCAGGGGCCGTGCCCGCTCTCTCTGCAGGCTCCCCGGAGACCAGCCCTGGGGAAGGCCAGCACCACGCCCAGGTAGTGTTTGTGCTGTCAGTACCTCTGGCCGGATTGTGTCACTGCCCCCTGCCCCACCCCAGGGAAGTGACCAAGGCAGCTGTGTCGGTGTTGGGGGACCAGAGTGCCCCTGCTGTGTGCCTTCTCCCCGAGCCTCAGCTTCCCCATCTGTAAATTGGGCTGATCATGGTGCCTAGCAAAAGGGGTGCGGTCAGCCTCTGAGAGAGAGTGTCCCGCGCCGCCATTCACGGGGCGTTTTACTGGCCGCTCGCCCCTTTCTGTCCGTGGGCATTCTGGGACAGAAGGGTGGGGAGCAGGAGGGGCGGTGGGGGTGCAGAGCGAGACCTTCTGTGGCCCCCACACCTGACCAGCCGGGTCTGTTTCCCCCTCCCAAGGGCAGACACGCTGCACCCTCCTGCAGTCGAGGATGACCTCATGGCCACCCTGAGGTGGCCCGAGCCCTCTGCACAGCCAGGTCCCCTGCAGGGAGGTCCCTATGAGGCCTGGTCCGACCACATGCAGAGGCCAGACTCCCCTGGGAAGGCCTGCAGCTACCCAGTGTGGACGACAGGCGAGGAGGCCAAGGACGAGGACAGCTTGGTGTCGTCAGGCCGCCTGTCCGGCTCCTCGGGGGGCCACGAGTCATGCGCACCGCCCCATGGGCCCTGGAAGGAGAGGGCCCCCCAGGTGCTGGGATCCCCGCGGCTGCCCAGGCAGAGCAACCCGCGGCTGGAGCAGCTGAGGGACAAGATCCGGGCCCAGGTGCAGTGGCAGGCCAGCTGCGCCTCCCTGGCCACCTCGACACCCTCCAGCGCCTCGCACCTCTACAAAGCCTCCTCGCCAGCCCCCCGGAGGAAGACCCGAAAGCTGAAGCACTCCCCTCCAGCCCCGGTCTCCCCAGGTCAGTGGCAGCTTCCCCGGTGAAGGGCGGGGGCGGCGAGGCCACCGGGAGGGCTGTGCTGGTGGCCGACGGGGCAGTGAGTGCAAAGTGCCCCTTGGGTGCACAGCCGGGGAGCTGCGTGGGTTAGGGCCGGGCCGGGCCGGGCTGGGCCGGAGCACAGCCAGGGCTGCGGCGTCGAGGGGCACAGGCTGTGGGCTGGCGGGAGCCAGATGGGGTGGGGGTGCAGGGAAAGGAAGGGCATGCCA